TCCATTTGACAGGAAACAGAAGGGGAGAGAGAAGCAAGTTACATGAAATCACAAGGAAATAAACAGAATGCAAGTAGTCTGTAGCATAAGCCACGGGTGTCTTTTAACAAGGAAGGGAATGAAAAAGGGAAGAGGACATAGGAGTGCTGCAGACGGACACAGACAGGAAACATCACAAAAGGCACTGCATGAACCACATTTGGACCCTAATTCAAATATTTTGTAAACAGGGATATGTGAATATGGACCTGGTATTAGGCAACACCAAATAATTGTTCATTTTGTTAGGCGGGACATTAGCATGGTTGTTACGTAAGAAATCATCAATAACTCTTACCTATACTGAAATGTTTGAATTGTAAATGTCTGCTTCAAAATACTTCAGTAGGGCTGGATGCAGTGACTCATACCTATAATCCACAGCACTTTGGGAGGCTGAGGGGGGAGGGTTGCTTGAGGCAAGGAGTTTGAGACCAGCCTGGGCAACATGACAAAACCCCATTTCTACGAAAAATACAAAAAAAAATTTTTAGCAAGGCATGGTGGTGTGCGCCTGTAGACCCACCTTCAGAGTCTGAGGCGGGAGGATCGCTTAATCCTGGGAGTCTAAGGCTGAAGTGAGCCATGATTATGCCACTGCACTCCAGCCTGGTCAAAAGAATGAAACTCTGTCTCAAAACAAGAAACGAAAAAAACAACTTCAGAAACAGCAACAACAAAAAAGAATAAATAAAATAAGTGGGACCTACCCTTGTCAACCACTGAATTGGCTCACTGCAACCTCCACCTCCTGGGCTCAAGCCATCCTCCCATCTCAGCCTCCCGAGTAGCTGGGACTACAGGTGCATGCCACCATCCTCAGCCAATTTTTTTGTATTTTCTGTAGAGACAGGATTTCACCATGTTGCCCAGGCTGGTCTCAAACTCCTGAGCTCAAGTGATCCTCCTGCCTTGGCCTCCCTAAGTGCTGGGTTTACAGGTGTGAGTCACAGTGCCCGGCTGAGAATTGTTTTTGAAGTGCCACAGGGGATTCTGATGTAAACTCGTATGTTCCCTCCCCAACAACCCAGTCAAACTGTTGTCCAGCAGGGCATGTGTTCCAAGCCCTCAGGGACAAGGATCACCGAGGATTCCACACTGTCACTGCCACATCAGGCCTAACCGTATTCTTCACTTTCAGAAGAAAATTTAAAGTGGGATAGCTAATTCATTACCTACAGCTTGCAAGGCTTCAATTTTCCCATTCAGTTTAAGGTGTTTCTCACCAAAATTCAGGTGCATTTAGTCACTGTGTTGAAGCCAACTTCAGCATGGGAGCTCCCGCCAAATAAAATCTCCTGGGAAAAAACAAGTTTACCCATAGAGCTAAAGGAGCTTTCACTGGGCAGAGTATCAGGGAGAATGCCATAGTAGCAAACCCCAAGTGACGGGGCCAGGTCAATGCCCTGGAAGGATATTGTACCTGGGCACACCTGGGCGGCTGTGCCTCTCACAGCAGCAGCAGCTGGCCTAGGGGAACCCAAGAAAGAGGAGAAAAGTGGAAAAACTCACACTCCTTGCTTTGTTCTCACAGAATGGCAAATGCTGGGAACAAACTCCCAACCACAAAACTGACTGGCATTTGATCAGAAACATGTCAATACAGGTCAGGATGGCTGGGAAGCCAGAACTGAATGTTTCATAACATTAACAATCTCAAGTCTTTAAAATCATTCTCTTTTAACAGGTGATATCCACATTTATTTGGATTGACAACCTTCACCCCTGGAACACATGACTCCCAGAATCCAGTGGTGGAGGGTCGCATGGGGGGAGAACAGCTCCTCCCAGTGCATCCAACACCCACTTGTCACTCCCAAGGCTGACTGATGAAGACTCCTCCCAAGTCTTGCTGCACGCTTTGGCGTTGGTCTTTTCTAACATTTCGGAGTAAGCATTTGCTAAATTACTTTTATGTGGACCAGCATTATGTCAGACACCAACACTCAGGCATGCAGGGACTTGCACACTCGTTTCACACCAAACTAAACGCCCTGTTTGTTGCTTCATCACTGCTACGTGGCTTTGGCAGACCTGAGCAGTTCTCTGTCTGGAATTGCTTTCGAAGACTTTCCCTTTCTTGTCATAAAGATCCACCTATATAGAAGCTTTAAATACCACAGACTTGGTTCTTTACAGAGGAGCAGTGAATGTCCTCTAAGCTCAAAGAATAATCTTAAAGCACTCAACAAAGCCAACTCCAGAGGTGGCTCTCCGAATGCCCAACCTGAGATAAGGAGGGAAGGAGAAGCGCTTCGTGGTCATGGAAATGCCTCTCCCTGATTAAAGAGACACACTTTGATGGTTACAGCTACACAAAAATAAGGACCTAGGGAGGAGGGGCCCAGTAACTTAGAAATATTCACATCTGCACGCTCGACCCAGGCATCATCTGCACCAGGGATCAAAGTAAATCTCTCGTTAGTGACCACATCTTTCCTCCCAGGCAACACCCCTCCCCAAACCCTGCGTCCCCACCCCCCATCTCAAACAGAAACTTTGAGTGAAGAGCATTTGCACGCAAACACGTCCAATTTGAGCAAGGAGAAATACGGCTGGACCACTTCCTGATTCATACTCTCCCATGCCAAAGACAAGGAGAATATTCTCAGGCTCAAGATTCTACTTGAAACGGTGACAAGCTGCCACAGAGAAAGAAATTAAACGCCCAGACCCGCACAGCCGCTGACCCCACACAGTGGTGGTCCTGCACCCAAACCTGAACTGCAAAAAGAGGGAGACCCAGAGACCCAGCTGCACACAGCAGCATTAGTCATACAACACACAAAGTGGGAAAACGCAGTCACACGAACACTTAGCAGAGGGAACGTTTTCTGGCAGTTTATCTTAACTGTAGCCGTATCTCTTTTCAGGACTCAAAGTCAGAGCATAATTTTGTTTTCCACTTCTTAACAGTTGCCCAATTTCTACTGAACCTATTATATTCCTTAAAAACAGGCCAGGCATGGTGGCTCGTGCCTGTAATCCCAGCACTTTGGGAGGCCAAGGTGGGTGACTCACTTGAGCCTTGAAGTTTGAGACCAGCCTGGGCAACATGGTGAGACACCATCGCTACAAAAAGTATAAACATTAGCTGGGTGTGGTGGCACACACCTGTGGTCCCAGCTCCTTTGGAGGCTGAGGTGGGAGATCACTTGAGCCCAGGAGGTCAAGGCTGCAGTGGGCTGTGATCACACCACTGCACTTTAGCCTGGGTGACAGAGTGAGACACTGGTCTCAAAAGAAAGAAAGGAAAAGAGGCCGGGAGCGGAGGCTCATGCCTGTAATTCCAGCACTTCGGGAGGCCAAGGCGGGCAGATCACGAGGTCAAGAGATTGAGACCATCCTGGCCAACATGGTGAAACCCAGTCTCTACTAAAATAAAAAAAAAATTAGCTGGGCGTGGTCCCAGCTACTTGGGAGGCTGAGACAGGAGAATTGCTTGAACCCAGGAGGTGGAGGTTGCAGTGAGCCACTGCACTCCAGCCTGGCGCCTGGTGACAAAGCAAGACTCTGTCTCAAAAAAA